TTTACCCTTTGCTCCCACCCTCCACCTCCACGCCCTCTGGCTACCTGGATTCTGTTGTTAGAATTCAAAGGTTTGTCTTTGTTTTCTTTCTGTCAGTTGTTTGCTTTGTTTCTTTATAACCCAAATAAGTGAGATCACCTGTTTTTTTTTCCCTTCTGATTTATTTCCCTTTGCTTAATCCCATCCAGTCCCACCGATGCTGTCACAGATGCCAATAGTGCACTTTTGTTTTTAACAGCAGAATAGTATTCTGTTGTGTATATATAGACCACACCTTCTTTGTCCAGTTAACATTAAGTTGTGTACTCCCAAAGGTCTCCACATTAAAACATTAACTGATTAGTGGTAGGTAGTGGGATCAGGGGTGCTTGTCTATTATGTTTTGCTTTCTGTGGTATTAATATTGTATTTGCTCAATAAAGACAGAGTTTGCACAGACACTTAGAATAATGCTCAAATGGGATCTCTGGAGAAACAATCTCTGAGGAACAAGCAAGGATGTGAGAAGCTATGGTCTTTCTCAGTAGGATAGGATAGCCAATCACTTTCGGAAATTAGGTCTGTCTAGTGGCTGCTGTTGAGACAAAATGAGCGAGACAGGCATCCGGGAGATCAACTAGCCAGCCAGTTGCTATAGAACAACTAGCCAGCCAGTTAATAGAAAATCAACATGCTGGGAACTTGATGCAATCACTGTCTTCAAGTAAAATAACAACAATAATGAAAAACAAAACAAAAATTTCTTTAAATGGCAGGCCTATTTATGGGAAGAAAGGCTGCTTGATCAGCAGGAGGTCATCAATGACCAGGTGGTCCAGAGCCTTTTGCTCCATGATGATCAGTGAGCGAACCTCAGTTGGAGGTTGGCTTACAAGAACACTTTTTATTTATGCTATTGTAACTTGGTGGTCCCTAGGAAAAGGGGAAGTTCCAGGTCCCTTGCTCCACCCAGAAGTAGGGTGGAGCTGAGGAGAGAAAAAGAAAGAAGAGAAGGAATCAGAAGAAGAAGGAAGCAGGATGGAGAGCCATAAGGAGACCTGAGGAAGCCTCATGGAGCAGCAAGTATGTGAGGAAGAAACTGTGCTTGTTTCTTGGCCCTGGACTGGTTAAAAGAGATGTGGGTGAGAGACCTATAGGGAGGTTGTTTATGGCCGTGTTTATTGATTTTGATTTTGCTCTTTTCCTCCCAGACTTGTCTGGCCATTTCTGACCCTTTCTATGGATCCCAGCCAGAGGAGCTTTAGTCTTACGGCACGCTTTCGGGACTTGTTTTGGGCCAATCCCTTTTGGGTTGACTTCTGCTCATGAAGGGATGGGTAACTTCAGGTATTTGATTTAGAAATTATATTCTTTGTGTTCCATATTGTATATTCACTGCATTAAAATCCCTTTTCATTAAAGTTTTATATGTTTTGTCTTGATGCGGCAGATGGCAGAACCTATTCGGAGCAGGCAGGTTTGGGGGTCTGGGGGTGCCGCTTTTTCCCTGCTCTGTAACACTATCACTCTAGCACTCAAATAAATGGGGAAAACCAGCCCAGAGTACTCAGAGTACCTTCCAACCAAAGTCACTGCATGATGTATTTTAGCTGAATCACCTGCTGATGCTGGGTGAAGAGCGGTGGAGATGTAGGCATGGACTTGCAGAGTGATGGTCATATGAAGTGCCAGCTTGGGGAGTGATGATCATGCAGAATGCCAGGCACATCTGCTGAGTGCCAAGTCAGGGAGCAAGAGGAGATTGGAGAGCAGACGTGGTCCAAAGGGAGCAGGGAGCTTGCCTCTGGAAGAGACACCTCCGACATGTCATGCTTGAGCCAGTGTCTTGGAACTGCTCACTCTGCTTCAAAATGTTGGTCCTTATATGTGTTTTTAAGTCCTTATCACTTGTGTGCAGGACAAGCTAGATGGCACACTTTCAGCTTTCCCAGTCTATCAGAAGGTGCAGTCTCTTAACAGCACGCTTTAGTCTTATCGCTCTATTGCACTCATAAACATGTTTGAGCATTTTTTATATTTGTTACAGTTCCCGTAGATGTTATGCCAAATGCCAGGACAGGCACAAGTGGCTGTGATGGCTGTCACTAACCATGCAGTTATTTCTACCATAGTCCATAAGCCATTTTGCTGCTTTCAAGGGGCAGCTCGGCAAATTAACTGGCGGTAGGACAGACAGAACCAATCAACCACTCTTGCATCCTTTAGGATGATGGCAGAGAAAAGTAAAGAAGTCACACCTGTGGGTGAATAAAAGTTAATCTTGTTTTTTATAAAGATTTATTCATTTATGCATACAGAACTGGGGTATAGGCCAGAGGTGTGGGGGGGGGGGTGAGAGGATTCACCAGAGAGAGAGTGGGGAGCAGAACAGGCAGATTGAAGTACACTGCTGAGAGGAGCAGTAGGTGAGACAGGAGAGGTCTGCTGGGCGATGTGGGTCACCTCCAGGGCCAGGGATCGAACTCTTACTGAAGTGGCTATGGCTAGCTTGCAATGCTACATCCTAACCCGTTGTGCCACCAGGGAGGGCCACAAATTAATCTCTACTGGAGTAGAATAGGCAATGAAGATGCTGAAATTCTGTGCTAGGTGAATTGCACATGCAGAATCAGTCACTTCCAGCATGCGTGGCACACAGTCAAGAAAAATAAAGGGTCATTTTCAGTTAGGGTACCATCTGCCCTTCTGCCAAACCAAATATGTGACCCTCATCAAAGCTGGTGGTCATCTCTCCTGACTCTCAACCTGAGTCCAGAAAAGTCATAGGTCAAATTGTTCATTTTCTTTAAAGTGTCCAGATTGAGGGAGGTGCCTGTCATAGGGGTGGAAAGCATTATGGACTGGCCCTTGTTCTCAGAGACTTTGGGGGTGTTGGGGGTTCCAAGTTCCCTGGGGACCTTGCTTCCTTCTGCAATAGAGGTAATGCCTTCCATTGACAGCAGTTACTTTCCACAAGTTTCATATGTTCATCTGGTAACTCGCCTATGAGCCTGGGCAGGATTTGAGAAACAGGTGTGACCTACGGTCTAAACACAGACACAGTCTAAAGAATTTTTTTCCTATTTAATTAATTACAAAGGTAAGTTTTCTGCCCAAACCCACAGATTAGTGGTAGTGGTAGAAAAGTAACAAAGGAACAATCTCCAAGCATTGAAATGAAAACCTGGGAGTGCAGGCGTGTTGCAAGCAGGGGCTGTGAAACAAGTCATGCTCCATAATTCTTCAGTTTCTCGCTCTTCTAACTCAGTACTTGGCTTTCCTTAGGAGGTGTGGCCTTTGGTGTCCTGGAAACAGACTGAGACAGGTCTTTGTGCCGGGCTGTCGGTACAGGTGCAGGAAGGTTGTCCTCAGGACTAGAGCTAGAAGGAAATAAGAAGAGACAGAGGGAGAAGTGGGGCTACGGTGCTAATCCCATGGAAATCTCTGGAACTGTGATAGTTCTGCAGGGTTGTTATCAACTGAAGCACAGGGTCCCTGCCTTTGGAATGACACACCACTCAATCAATAAAGGACTATTGCCAACTTACAGTCTTCGCTCTTGGTGGTCTAAGTTGCCAACTGTCCCTGCAAGAGCAGCACAAGCAGCATCCCACGGGGTCAATTGCTCTGCCCCCATGGGTGCCATTTCCTGATCAGCCATCACAAGCTCCCATCCAGCCCCAGGCAGTTGTCCAATTATCTGTACAGGCTGAACAGCCACGTCTCTAGATATAAAAAGCCTAGCCTGCCCTTCATTATAATGCTTAATCCTCCCCCTCCTTGCCAATGGAACACATGTAACAGGTATGATGAATGCCTGAGCATGCACACTTACCATTCCTTAGAAATAGCTAAACTTTTCCTGAAACTAAATGTATATGTATAAACTCTCCATGACTATCACTATGAATATGTATAAAATAAAAATCTGATCACTAGTTGGGGAGCCTGGTTTTTGTCCCAAGGACCACTTTGCTCCTGCCTATTGCAATCCAATAAGCCCCTTTCTGCTTACAACTTAAACTGATGTCTTTGCATTTTCATTGACAAACACCAAAGACGAGGGACCCCTGATGTTTGGGCTGGTTACAGTACCCCTAGATTAACCAACCGTTGGATGTATGCAGTCCCTGAGAGAAGGCTTATCCTTGGGTATAGGGGGAAATCGCCAGGGAGGAAGGCAGCTGGATTGCCCTGTAGAGGCAGAGTGAAGGAGCTGAGAGAAGTACACTTGTGGGAACGAATTTCTTGTGTGGAGCCTGAAGACGCCCCAGAGGCGTATGTTCTCAGAAGGGTATGTTCCTTAGGAGGCCCAGAGGATAGACCATGCAAAGATAAGGGGGAAAACACCGGTGAGAGGGCACCAGCATCACTAAGAAGTTCAGAGGGTCTCTCTGCAGACCACAGATGGTGCCGAGAGGCAACCATAGCCTTGATAATGTTCACGGATGGTAGCATCTGGAAGGCAAAGACTTGCACCACCAGGAGTCGGGAGGCTGCAATTACTCCAACGGTGGACGCAGTCAGTCCTCGAGGGCAACCTAGCAGGCTTGATGTCTAGATAGATGTAAAAGTACATAATAGGACAGGTGTGTGGGAGGGCAGGGGTGAGAAACTGATGGGAAGCCAACAGGCAGCTCCTCAACATCTATCACCAGAAACAGACAAGGATGGAAGAACAAGAGTCTGAAAGTGACGGTCGCAATTAAAAAGTCCTGCTCCCTGCGCTGTCTTAGAATCTACAGCTGGTAACGCCTTGCCTGGAGCATTAATTACTTAGACGACATTTTCGAAGAACGTTTTATGGGAAGATGGTCCCAGAGGTAGCCCTGCCCAGCGTCACGTCCTTCCTCCTGCCACGAGGGGGCGGTAGAGCGCTGCCGTCCGTGCATGTCCCAGGTCGGGAGGCAGGACGACTCTGAACCGCTCTTCCGACTGCCCCGTGTGGGTGGAGCAAAGGGAGCCCGGGCCGGAGAGGAGGGCAGGAAGTGGGGAGGCGGGGCTTTTGGGCTAGGCTGTGCGCTTGCGCGTAGGTGCGGGTCGGAGGAGAAGTCTTCGTTCGTCAGACCTAGGGTCTGTCCTCTTGGGGGCACCTCTATCCCCCTCTTCCAAGTTGGCCGGGGCCGAGGGGAGGGGGCTGGGAGGGGGAGTTGGGCGGGGGAGAACTTTGAGGGATGCAGGGTGAGCAGCGGGGATCCCCAGAGACTGGGCGGGCTGGAGGCGGGGAGGCCTACGGGGAGGAGCGACTGCGGGGCGCCGGGGCGGGAGTGGGGCGAGTCCGGCGCTGGGAGCTGGTTGGCGGGAGTGAGTGAGAAAGGGCTGTGTGGGTGCAAGAGGCTTCTCGTCTCTTCTCCCCGCTCTCCCCGGGACTTCTGAGCAGCCTGGGGGTGGGAGGTGGACGAGGTGCCTGTGTTTTCTGGGTGCCCTGTGCCTTCTCCTTAGCGGCCCGCTTTTCAAAGTCGTGTTTCATGTTCGCGCATCGGGGTGCGCCGCACCCCGAGACCTCACCTATGAGGAGTCGCGCTCTCTTACTCGCCCCCGGTTAAAGTTCTCTTGCCACCCTGAGCGGTGGGGAACACAGGAAATGGCCTGTTTAAACTGGCTGGGGACTTGTATTTCTTTAGAAACTTGTCTACAAAAGTCACTTTCTACACGATTTAAATGTCACTTGTCTGTGTAAAATGGAGCAACGGTTTTATTGTGTCACTCAGTCCTCACATGAGAAATTTTAGTTCAGGGTGATGAAAGTAACTCATTTCGCATTCAGGACTTAATCAAGGAGGTGACTGATCAATGCCGCTAACCCTCATTGGAAGGATTTCGGGTTCATATCCGTCGGTCATTCTCAGCCCCGGTGAAGGGGTGCCATCTGACATTTGGAAGCTCAAAGAACCCAAGCCTGTTGCCTTCCAATTTATTATTATTTTTTTAAAACTTCCATCGTGTATACTTTGCTTGAACGATTATTTTAAAGTCCATGTCCTATTTTTTGCCAATCTGACAGCTGTTTCCATAGAAACGAGGGAAGAAATAGTCATTTTCGGCAGGGTTGTTAAAACTGTCTTCCAGGCTTCAGCTGTGAGTGCCAGTGAGTGCTCTACTTGCTCATTCTGAGATGGTACTTAAAGAATTTAGGGTCTGGAATGTTCTTAGAGGCTAACAATCCGAGTTGTCTAATTTTCTCACATCATTAATTTAGTAATCCTAGAAGTCTGGCAACTCTATTTGTTGACGTGCTACAGTTCTTTGAAGAGGATGTCTGCCCTAATTCTTACCCTCTGTGTAGCCTAACTGCTTTGCTCTTTGAGAATATATAAATAGATTCCTTCTCCCATTCTTAACCTTTTCTTAAGGGTAAACCAGGGATTCCAAAATATCAGATTCTATTTCTGTTCTAAATGACACTTGATTGTCAGTTACATAAATGATAGTGTTTTTACTTAAGTGCATACAGTGCTTGCTGCTTTTGCTTATACCTTCTGTGTCGGTCGCTTTAAAAATTTTCACGTAAGTTGTGAGAGAAGAGCAGGAGTTTGCTTAGCTTGTGAGCAGAGCTAAGCATGGTGAACAGATGTGTATAGACACAGAGGTGAGAGTTTTTCTTTTTTGAGGGGTGTGAGCAAATCAGTGGTTCTGAACTGAGGAATGGGTGAAGAAGGAGGGGAAGGAGGAGCCATTTCTACCATGTAAATGTTAATGAAACCCATGGAAACCAAAGGAAATTATAAAAATAGTTGCCTTTGTTGGTTTAGGGCTTTCAAAAGTAAAACATCCATTAAACTTTAAGCAGCACAGAAATAAATAAGATGGGAATACTCAGTTCGTTATAACTGTCATCCTGCCATCCAAAATACCACTGTCAATACTTCGGTGTGTCTTCGTTTAGATTTATTTGTATTTGTATATGCTAGCAATTTTTATCATTATTATTTTAGCCAATGGTTAGAGGTTTTTGACTGTTTCTGTCTCATATGGAATGGTGTTAGGCATGTAGTAGTTGCACTCATTTAATGGATGAGTGAAACAATTTAGAGCTCAAAGACTGACTGGGGTTTCTGTTTGGTCAGGGTGCTTAATTTTTTTTTTTAAGATTTATTTATGCATTCAGAACTGGGGTACAGGCCAGAGGTGCAGGGGTGGTGAGGGGATCACGCAGATCCACGAAGTACACTGCTGAGGGGAGCAGCTGGCGGGCAGGAGAGGTCTGTGGTGCCATGCGGATCACCTCTGGGGCTGGGGATGGAACTCATGCTGAAGTGGCTTTAGCTTCTTAGTGCTGTGCTTTTTTACCTGCTACTACACCACCAGGGAGGGCCCTAATTTTTTTTTTTAAGTTGGTTGCTAACATTTTAAAATTGATTAACTTTCACATAAGCGCCGGTTTTCTGGCTTTCCTTTAGAATACTGAAATATTTGGCGACATTGTACTCAAATTGCATTATTCTTGTTGTGCCCCCTTTAGAGTAGCATGAATCTGCCTTTACATCAGTTTGGCTTTGCTGGCATTCCCCTGTCTAGACCCATGCATTTACACTGTCCAATATGCTAGACACCATTACATATGGCCATATGGTTTTAAATTAATTAAAATTAGATTAATTAAAAATTTTATTGCTCTCCAGTCATATTTCAAGTGCTCAGTAACCCGTGTAAGCACTACTGAACTGGGAAGCACACATACAGCATGTTGCCATCCCTGCAGAAACTTGTTCGGTGCTACTGTCCACATTTCAGTTGCTGTCCCTGATGTACAGAATTTTTGCAAGTAGCATTATTGTTCTATTTTAAATCTGTGTATCTTACTTTTATTATACAAACCTCCATATTTTTAAATGATTGCATAGTATTTATGTAGGACTACGAGTTCCAGGGGTAGGGTTTTGTTGTAGAGGGGAGGGTTTTACAATCTGACTGGCACTGCTTTAACTCTAATTTGAAAATTGGGAATTTGGTTTTGCAAAGTATAGCAGGCGCCCTCAGCTAGTTCCAGTAAAAATCTGTATATTGAGATGTTATCAGCTTATTGTGAAACATGCATAACTGGTTGTACCAAGTATGTAAACCTCTTGAGTCAGCTCTTTATGTGGAAGATACAAACTCAGTGAAGAGGAAGAGTTAGTAAAATAAAAACTTACAAAGCTCAAATATAGGAAGTACAACAATACAACTCTCGCAAACTAAGAAGGTGTATGACTCTGCCTCACAGCCCCAGGTTCCATGGCCTCTCATTTTCTTTCCTAAGTCAATTCCATTGTCCTTTCTTAGATTGAGTCTATAAGCAGTTTTATTTTTTAGAGTGTTGGCTATTGATCTGAGAGAATAGGAGGCATAGCCCTGAAGAGAACGTTCTGTGGCCATTGATCTAAGAGCTGGCTTTTTTTATAATGAGTTAATCAACAGTCATAAGCAAATAGCCCATTAGAACAGCCAGTTATAGTTGAACCAGTTCATCGGGACAGCTCATCACAGTTGGTATTCTTGGGCTTCGTCAAGTTTAGATCCCAGTTTGTTATCAGGCTGCCAGTTATCTTGACCCTGAAACCTCAGATGGTGTAAGTGTCTGGTACTCTTGGGCACCATAGGGCAGGCATCTCAGTTTAAGGCAAGCATTGAAAGAAAACAGACCATTAGTCATACATGTGCAGCGTAGCCTGTACGCATAGCCTATACCAGGTGTGCAGGTACAGATTCCTGCACTAGGTGTGGTGCCCTCCGCCCCTCGCTACCCCCTTTCAGACTCAGCATTGAAGCCTTAAGTGTATTTTCCCATTTGAAACTTTTTAAATTATTTTGCTGCATCTACCCAAATGACCACAAACGGTAGTTGCTTTTTCTGAGCTATTCTGCTACTCCTGTATATCCTTCAAAAATTAAATCCCTAGAGTACATAGCACATAATGAAGAATTGTATTTTGTTATCCCCAAGTAATCTGATTTGGTTACATTTTTTTCCTCCTCAGCTATATTACAATTTCTGTGTGGACGTGAACAGAATTTTATGTTGTGTCTCTAATTCATTTGCCATCTAGCTAATACTAATTGTGAAGTAATTTCCAGTTTTAAATTATTTTATACTTTTCAGCTTGTTCCAAACAAAACAACACAAAAAACAAAGAAAACTGAAGAATATTGTTAATAGTGTTAAACTCTTAGACATCAGCCAGACTACTAATTCAAAATTGATAGTAGTTCATATTTGCGTTTATTCACATTATACATTAATTCAAGGGCTGCATGTACAAAGTATTTAAAAAATTTGAGTAACTTTCATGTAATTTTCATCCCTCTTTGTATATAGGTAGTACTGTACTCTTATGGTGTTTTTTATTGCTTTGGTATCAGGGTAATGCTGGTTTCGTAAAGTGAGATATAAATGATTTCCTTTTCATTTCCTGAAAGAGCTTGTATAGAATTAATAATTCTTTAAATGTTTGGTAGACTTCCTCAGTGAAGTCATTTGGGATTGGAACTTCCTTTGTGGCAAGGTTTTTAACTACAAATTCCATTAAAAAACAGATATAGGACTTTAGGTTACTTATTTCTTCTTGAATAAGTCTTGGTGTATTTTTCAAGGAATTTACCCACTTCATTTAAGGTGTCAAATTTAAGTTTTATTGGTTTCAAAAAATTGGATTATGACATACCTTGTATTTCTTGTGTATGGGATTTTTCTTTAACTTTTTGGATTTCTGGATTTACATATTTCATCAAATTTTGGAAAATGTTGATCATCGTTTTTTAAGTAGTTTTTTTGTCCAGTATCTATTCCAATTCTGGGGGACTGCAGTCGCACTTAGGCCATTTGTAGTTATCTCAAACCTCAGTGATTCTTTATGCTTTTTTCCCCAGTCTATTTTCTCTCTGCATTTCGAGTGGATGTCAAATTCACAAGTTTTTATTTCTGCACTGTCTAATCTGACATTATATTTTAAAAAATACACAAAATGAGACTATAGCATTGTCATTTTCTGGTCTAGAAGTTCAGTGTAGTCTTAAAAAAAAATCTCTTATGTAATATGCCTAACTTTTCCCTTGACTTCTTGCACACATGCTTTATGTTTTTACTGAATATTCTTGTCAATGCTTTCATTTGTGTTATTTAGTAGTTTCTGCTGATTGATATTTTATGGGCTACCTATCCTGCTTCTTGCATGCCTGATAATTAAAAAAAACTTTTTTTACAGGTTTATTGTATTTATTTATGCATAGAAGAGCTGGGGGTGGTAAGAGGATATATGCTAGCAGTGTGGGGGGTGAGAGGATTCACCAGAGACAGGGTGGGGAGCAGAACAGGCAGATCTCCTGAAATACACTGCTAAGGGGAGAGGCTGGGGAGATAGGAGAGGTTTGCCATGCTCTGTGGCTTAGTTTCTTGGCCTGGGATGGAATTTGTGCTGCAGTAGCTGCCTGGAATTTGATAGTGCTGAGACTTAACCCCTTTTGCCACCAGGGAGGCCCCAAAATTTTAATTTTAAATGTTCTTTGGTAAATAGTTTTTATATTCTGGGAATTTTTTAAAGGGATTTTTTTTTTTTTTTTTTAGAATATGATTAAACTACACTAATCAGTTTGATCTTTGGGAATATTGCCTTTAATCTTTGTTAGGTAGCTTTTAGTTTAGTACTGACTTTCCCCTAGTGTTTTGGCAAATCCATCTACTTACCCAGTGCCCCATTCGTTAATATGGTTTTCCACTTTGAAAGTGCGAATAGACATTATACACTGTCCTTTGTGAGCCCTGTGTTTTGTTCCTCTAATTCAAGTGGTGCTTTCCCAGCCCAAGGGAGTGTTTTCAGATTTTATGTGCTGGTAAAGGTTTAACTGAGATCTCTGGAATTCTTTCCTTGTAGAGCTGTTTTGTGCATCTGGTGGTCTGCTTTGTAAGCTCTAGGTGCTATATCCTACTTGACCCCCCGTTTCAACTTTTTTAACTTAGGGGTACTATTGGTCTACATTTAGGTTTCTTTTCTTAGTCTACCATCCTGGCTGTAAACTGGGGCAATTTTAGGACAGTTTTAGATAGGTGTTTCCCATCTCTCAAGGATCATCTTTCTTTGCTTAGTGTATAGTCTGTTGAAGCCATTGTTTTAATTCTGTCTTTCTTAAGTTTGTTTTAGGTAAGAAGAGATACATATATACACACACACATACATATATATATATAGTCTCTTAGCCATTTGACCCCCGTCAGAAGTGCCACAATTATAATGGAGAAGAGTAAATTTGTGTTTAAAAACTGTACATTTTATAAGTTAGATTTTACTTTTATATTGTTATATGCTTCTTTGCCTCAGTTACTACCTAATGATAACATTTTATGGCTATTTTCATCAAATTCACATATTCTTGAAATAATTTAGATGTTAAGGTAAAAATAAAAAGTGGGGGAAAAATAAAATTTCCTAAGTACATGTTATAGAATTAAAAAAAATAGTAAAATCTCTTTAGTTTGCATTGTTGAAAGGCATTGGAGTAAAGATAAGAGTATAAATCCAAGGCACCTTAGCTGAGATGTCTTAAAGGATGGTCAGCTGGCATGTCTACTTCATAAGTGTTACATTCCTAGCTTAGTAAGTAGGTATTTTCAGAGATACTTATAGTTTATTTTTTCTGTTCCAGGTAAACAAGCAAAAGAAAGATGAATTTCATCTATGGATTACAGTCAGCCTCTAGAAACTGTATTTCCAGATTTAATGCACTCACCAAGTGGAAAAAGTGTAAAGTGCTACCTGTAACCTCACAGTACTGTCAACAAGTACAAATTAACTATATATTAAAGAACCAGACTCCGGGAGTAAATAGTCTGTGTGATAGGTTGACTTTTCATGGGAATTTTCATTGCTATAGCACTTTCAATAAACAAGCAACAGGATGCCTCTTGAGTACCAAAAGCAAGGAAATTTGGATGACATCCAGAAAATGTACTATATGGAATGACTCTCTTTCAAGACAGCTCCTGATGAAAGAAGTATCAGGAGTTCCTACTCTTTCAGTGTCGGATCCTCTAAACTGTTTTCCCTTAAGAGACATCAGGAGTTTCCACACATCTCCACGGTTTCAAGCTGCTCCAGTCCCTCTCCTGTTGATAATTCTTAAGCCAATGCAGAAATTACTTGCCATCATTGTAGGCAGGTAAAATGCTTTTATAGAGAACAAACATATATGAAGAGTATTTTTTTCAATTTTTAAGAAATTATATATATATGTGTGTATATATATATATATATATATATATATATACACATACACACACACACACACACACATATAACATCATTCTTCATTTTGTGCATTTTTTCATCTCGATTGTACTCCCTGTGGACTTCCCACCACCAATTCACCCACGTGCTATCTATCACCATAGACCCGTGTGTTTGTCCCACCTCAGTTTTGATCCTGTTCCCCTTCCAACCCCCATAGAATGTCTCTGGTTTATAGTTGCTTGTTGATTTTCATTTTTACTTCATTGCATTTGCTTTTTTTCCCTCCCCGATCCCTTACACTCCTGGTATGAGTGAAACCACCTGGTATTTTTTCTTTTTCTTTCTGGCTGATTTCACCAAGCATGATCCTTTCCAGCTCCATCCATGTTGCCATAAATGGCATGAATGTATCTTTTTCTGATTGTTGGGTAATATTCCATAGTGTATATGTACCACATCTTGATCTAGTCGTTTGTTTTTAGGCATTTGGGTTTAATTTCACATCTTCCCTCTTGTAAATAGTACAGTAGTAAACAGGGGTGCTGGTGTCCTTTTGAATTAATGTTTTTGTGCTCTTTGGGTAGATACTTAAGAATGGGATTGCTGGTTCATATAGAAGCTCCTTTTTTAGCAGTTTGAGAGACCTCCAAACAGCTTTCCATAGTGGCTAGACCAGTTTGCATTCCCAGCAGCATTGTAGGAGAGTTCCTTTTTTTCCATGTCCTTGCCAACATTTGTTTTTGTTAGTTTTTAAAATATGTGCCATTCTCACATATTAAAAAGTGTGAGATGGTATCGCATTGTGGTTTTGATTTGCATTTCCCTGAAAGGGTATTTGTGAAAATACACTGTTAAAGAAAATTTGTTTTCTTTAGCTCAGGATTGTTTTTAAACAATTAGTTGTGCCAAGGTTGTTATGCTTAATGACCTTGAAGTAATTTTTGCATCTTACAGAAATAAGAGCTTTAAAATTATTCTTATATATCTTAGGTAAACAGCCTTTTAAAAGATTGGTTTTAGCATTATAAGAAGAATCAGAAATACTGTTTGTAACTTGGGTATAAAAGCAGACTTACAAACATTCCTTTTGTAGTTTATAGAATTTAAGACAATGAATCATGAAATTGAAAAACTTTGCTCTCTTGTAGCCAAATTTTCAACCATTACTATTAATTTTTTATATCTAACAAATCTTTGTCTTTTGCTCTTGATAGTCCTTCATAATAGTGCTTTATGTGTAATTTAACCCTCCTGTAATGAATTGTTTTTCTCCATGAAGATTAAAGAAAGGTAAATGTTGGCCCCTGTAAAACGTTATGTTAGATGATTAGGAAGTCTCTTCTAGCATTCTTTCATTCCAACTAGCCTAGTTTTCTTTTATAAAAAAGCAAGAACTTTGTAATTTTTTGTGTAATTTCTATGATTTGGCATTGACACTCAAAATGTGCAGCTACATGAGCTTCAATTTTTAAATAATGTCAAAGAAAACCAGAAGTAGACAGTAGTGAAAAAGCAGTAAAACATTTTATTCAGGACTGTTGCAGTAGGGGAAAAGAGATCTCATTCTAGAATGAGTCTGTTTTGAATATAGCATGGGCAAATAAGAATTTATAACTAAGAAATAGGTGGGGGTTGGTGTGTGGAAAGTAAGAAGAAATATCAAGATTAAGGTGGGTAATCTATCTAAATCTAACTACTAGGATTCTTGCTAAGGACAGGCGAGGGGTTGTTCAGAGATCACCTGAAGGGTGGTGAAAGATGGGGTACCTGATTAGAGGTGGAAGGTAAGGGTTACTAGTTTAACTGTCTTTGCAGGATTATGTAAAATGGAACAAAAGTTGAAAACTAGTTGAAAAAGAATTCAGGGAAGCCTGAGTAGAGTTTGATGGAGGAGAGAGTCAATAATTAATGCCAGGGTGTTCTTGGGTTAATAACTTTTTATTTCCTTTAAATTATTTTTTAAAAATTTGTTGTTTTTGTAGCTATTATATAGGTTATTTAAAGTTACCTTTTAGGATATATTTTTGTACATTTTTTAAAAAGTTATCTCAAAGCTTAAAATAGGAAATAACTGTACTTAATAGCTGGGCTTTAATACCTACCTTTGGATTGAAACACTTTCTATAAGGACAGTTGAGTCATTTAGCAAAATAAATATTACTTAAAGAAGTTATGAGAAATGTTTATCAAGGGTATCTATTTAAAATTTTTTGTTATCATTTCACAGATAAAATGACAATGACAATTGTTGTCCTAGTATTAGAAACATTGCTTATTGTCAGAGTGTCTTGCACCCTTGTAAGCAGTATTGTTGCTTAGTAGTAATTGAACCTTGTCAGGTGTTATAGTATTATGTCACATTCCCTTATTTATAGTGCCTATGCATTTGTTGCCTCTTTGAGAGGTGAATGGATTATCTGTTTCTGAGTAATATTTGTTTCTAAAATCAATGTTCAGGTAGTTTTCCTTGTGCTTTGCTAAAGCACTGGCTGATTGTACCAGAAGCCTGATGAACAGTGGGAAGACTGGTGGTTACAGGTATAGATTTATTGTTTAGTAATCCTCTCAAATGTTTATTTGGGCAATTCATCCTGATTTAGTGGTTAAGTGCTCAGACTCTAAATCATATTACTCTTTGTGGTTGATTTTTCTCTTTTTACCTCTGTGAATGTGGACAGGGTGCTCAGCTTCTCTCTGTTTTCTCTTTTGTAACAGGATTATTGGGAAGATTAAATAAGATAACATGTATAACACTTTGGAGTTTGCATGTGATGGTATCAACTGGTGGTAGCTGTATTAAAATAGCTTCTCATTTCGTGTGTACCTGTACAGTAACTATAGGAAATTCAAATGAGAATCTGAATTTTAAGCTGTCACTCGATGTTGTTGGTTACATTTTTATCATTTAGCTTGAATTTTTGTAAACTGAAAAACTATACAGAGAAATAGAAAAAATTCCAGTACTTAGCGACTTAAAATTTTAGCATAAGGACTGATTTTTGGTGACATGTGCTGGAACTTTGAATTTTTCTTTTTACTCTAGGGGCATAAGGAAATGGTGGCAGGCACTTCCTGCTAACAAGAAGGAACTATTTAAAGAAAGTGTAAGGAAGAATAAATGGAAGTTACTCCTCGGCTTGACTAGTTTTGGATTGCTCTTCATGGTGTTTTATTTTACTCACCTGGAAGTGAGTCCCATCACAGGAAGGAGCAAGCTACTAGTATTGGGGAAAGAACATTTCAGACTTTTATCAGAATTGGAATATGAAGTAGTAAGTAGCAAGAACTGCTTTTAATGAGATTGCTCAATATAATACACAGGAGAGTTCCTTAAATATGAAAGATAAATGTACTACTTATTTTAATCTTTGATAGGAAATTAGTGTTTTTTTTTTTTTTACAAAAGGCCAGACATTTAATACCTAATATTTCTAATGCCTACATGTTCTATTTACCAGCTAGCTACTGCTCATTACATGTCATCTTAAATGTCACTTTCTCAAGAAAGTCTTCCTTGATTATCCAGTCTGGATTAGACAGAGTGACTGCATTACGCTCTAGGGATTATCCTTCATAAAGACTGTGCCCCAAAGTAGCTTATTTGAACTTGTGCCCAATACTTGGCTATATTGGGGTTAGGTTACTGACTTTTTACTTTCTCTTTGGGTACTTATAAGGGATCTTACCACTTTGAGTAATAGTAACACACATATTTAATACATTTAATACTTAATGTATATTTTGAGAGTAAATAGATGTGAAATCTGAATTTTTGAACTTTGAAGTACAGTAGAATAAGATTCCTCCAAACATAAGTTTTGGCAACAGTTCTGCTTTTTTAAGTGCAAAATGAAGTTGGAATTCAAAGCTTTAATCCTTGGAAAGTCTAACAGTTGAGGTAATGAAAGATTTTGCACCACTAGTGAGTTCCATGAGAACAGATCATCTTATCTGTTGCATAGTACAGATGTATAGTATGCATTCAGCTAATACTTTGTTGTGTTGATACTTCCTAGTCTCACTTAGCTTTGGCATGATTATATCTTTATATCTTTTTATTCCAACTGAATATCAGATTGGTCGTGGAAAGTTATCTTGAAAAGAAATGATGGTATTTTACTAAAAAGAGTGTTCTTAATCAAAATAGGATTAATCTCTTCATTTTATACAGAGATATAATGGATATAGGATATAGTGGAGTCAGGCAAGTTTGAGGAAAATGTTCTGGAAGGGTTCAAACAAGTATATTGTTAAATTAGTGCATTTTCTAACATATTACTAAGAAGCTTTAAACATTATATATTTACATATATGTTTTCTGTTCTTATTTTTTAATTTACAAATGTAATCCTGCTTGATGTGTTCTTCTAGAGATATTTACAAAGTACTTTAATTACATGTAATCTTGCTTGTTATATTTACTTCAGATTGTTTAGTATAATAACCAATGTTTTGTTTTGTTACAGATCAACAGATCATTTACATTGGTGACTTTTGTTTTATAAAAATGCTAATTGATATAGACTTTCAAATTCATATTCTACAAAATCATTTCATTTTAACATTTCAAAGAAGGTTACCATTTATTGATTCACAAATGAAAGAAACTGTTATTTTGAGACCATCCTTAATTTTCTTTGCACTGGAAAGGGTCTCTCAAGAATGTAGCTGAGCTACAGAAGTGTCTTATGGTGGCTAGTCATATTAACCATAATACAGTGAAGATGATATGCCCCGAGTTCTAAATTTGTGGTGATTTCCTGTGTGAATTAGCTCTGTGAATGAAACACTTTAAAATTAATGAAATGCCATTTTTGGTGGAAGTCTAACTTTGTTGTTAAGTATAAGGTATTTTCTATTTAGTGGTCCTGAAAGTAATGTTCTCTTATATTTTACTTACATGAAATATTTATGTTCTCTAGGCAATGTTTTGTTTTCTCTACTTTCAAATACTTAGGAAAGTAGAAAAATAATTAAGCATTTTATTTGTTCATAAGCTAGTAGAAAAAATAAATATTTCAGCCAATTTATAGGAATAAACATTTTAATTATTAGAATTGATCCATTTGTAAGAAAGCACATTAGTTTTGCATGAATAATTCAACTTTGAGAAATTTTAGTGTTTAATGTATACATATTTTTACATAATTAAAAATTAGAATGTTTGACAATAAGTGCCCATAGCTGTACACGAAGTAGTATGTTTTGTAGTAATAAAATTCTTAAAGACTACTTATTTTTCCACTCTTTCAGTGGATGGAAGAATTTAAAAATGATATGCTTTCTGAGAAAGATTCCAGATACCTAACTTTTAAGGAAGTGTTTTATCATCTAATTGAATGTAATAAAGATATTCCAGGGATCTCTGACATCAATTGGATTATTCATGTTGTTGATTCTCCAGATATAAATGCCTTTGTGCTTCCAGTAAGTAAATATTCTAAAAATTAGTAAGTTTAATGTTCTGTTTTTATGGTGTTCTATAGTTTACATTGTTTTCTTTATTGTGCAGAATGGACAAGTGTTTCTCTTTACTGGACTTTTAAATAGTGTAACCGATATTCATCAACTTTCCTTTCTTCTGGGCCATGAAATAGCACATGCAGTACTTGGACATGCGGTGAGTAGTTTACATGAATAAGCAATTGCTGAAATATTGTTTAGAGTTTGGCAAGTTAAATTTTTTAAGGAATGGAATCTTTTCAGATTTTTCTTTTAATGACGGAATTTTCGTCCTTAGTAATTGCCTTAGTTATACTGTTACCTGAAAAAATATGATTGGCTAATTATGAGAATTTTTGTGGTTTTTAGTATTTGGTATTGAATAATTAGTATGTCTCTTAAATACTGTTTTTATCACCTGTCTCTTTTGCTAAAAAGTAATTATTCTCAACCTCTAATTATTTCAAATTAGATTTTAAACTTTCCATAATTATTAACATACTTGTAATCGAGTCAGAAAATTAACTCTAGGAAAGTGATATTACTATTTTAAGTGGGTAAATCACTTTTCTATTCATTCTCAGAGGATAGCTTGGAGCATCTTTAAAAATGTCTAGAATGATATGCCATATATATAATTAATGCAGAGTAAGAAGAATGATACCTTGCCATTTTACAGTTTATTGAGCTTTTTAATATGTTAATATGTTAATACCTTTTCATTCATAATTTTATTACCATCCTCATGAGGTATGTACCTAATATCTTTATATTATACATGAAAAAAACTAAAGGTTAAAAAGATTCTTACTAAGATAACTGCTGTCATGGCAAAGTGGCAGAAGCTGTGCTTCAACCCAGGGTTTTTAAGTCCAGCACTTATTCGTTTTACCATAATTATTAGCGGCACTTGTCTTCTAGACCAATATTCAGATTGATTCATACTTCTGTAAATATACATCTGTTTGAGTTGGCATGAGCCCAGATTTAGTCAGTAACAAAAATGCATTGTTATTCATTAAAAAATGTTCTTTTGCTCACATAATTGTAAAGAAGTATATTTATCTTTAAAACATTTAGGTAAGTGGTGAAAAAATTGTGAAATCCAGTATATAAAGTTATAATTTTAACATTAAATGAAAATGATAATATTACTGTTCTAAAAGTTTTCTTGAATTTTCTCTATTCTTTTGAATATTAATAAGAGAAGATGGGCCAAAAGTTGTACTTTTCTGAGGCAAAAAATATATTTTGTCTGAGGTACAGGAAAATTAAAACATATTATTTCTTAAGATAAATAGAAGAATAAATCTTAAGCCATTGAAATAGATTATCTTTTAAGACATGACTTCTTACCTATACAATTAATCAAATTTGGCCACTTACAGTATTTAAGATTAATACTCAGTACATTTTTTTTCTGTCATTTAATTTCAATACCTCATTCACTATATTTTTGTCATATGCAAGAACAGTAATTAGATGAGACATATAAAGCAAGTAATAGCCTTAAAAATAGAAAGTAGTTACTAATATTTCTTTGACAGAGGTCTCAGACATTATCAACACTATACTTTCCTTTTAGGAGACTCCATTTTGGTTTGACCCAGCTTTTTATGTATTTGATTTATTCTATAAATTATAGGCGTTTTTGTTTTTTTTTTAATTTTTAGTTTCCTAAGACTGTTACAGCAAGCATGTTCTTTAATAGTTAATTTAACAAATATTTCCTCTTCGATAATGACTTCTTCATTTGGAGTTTTACTCTTTCATGCTTAAATATTCTTATAGTAAAGCAATGAATACTTTGTGAGGCAGATGATATTATTGAGGGACCTTGTAAGTGGTTATTTTTAACTGTCAGCAGTGCTACATATGTGCAAGTAATGACTCTTATCAGTATCAATATTAAATTAACATTTATTAATCAACTATAGGGATAATGGATAATCAAGTGCATTAAACTCAGACATTGTTATGCAAAACAACTTTAAATAATTTTTTTTTTGGCCTACTGCTCTAGGTACAAAAATTATAATACTCAATTTCTGGTGAGAAATACCAAACTTATAAAATCTCAGACTTGCATAGATGACTCATACTTACTATATTTGGTCATGAAGATCAAAAAATTATTTCAACTAAACTTACAATTTTCTGAATTATTCCTTCTTTTAACTGCTTTATAATGTTTGGTAGTATTTCATCTCTGTCCAAAGTATAATCCTTTAATTTTTTATAAAGCTAAGGACTATATTAGATATTTTAAAACTTTGTGGATTTGATTCCTTGTACCTTTGCTAAAAATTTTGTGAATTTTGGCAACTATTTTAGCCTTTATTTGTTCTGTCTCCTTTATCTACAAAATAGGGAGAATTGTAGCTATTTCACATGATTATTATGTTTGTAAATATAAGTAGCTCATAGGTTAATGAGCATGCCATTGTATTGGAATGATGATAAATATCTCAATAAATGTTAGTTGAGTGAGTGAATGTGTTAAAAGTATATGAGCAAGGGATGGGAGAAACAGACTAGGAAAGGATAAAGCATCACAGAAACTTGTGATCTTAATTGGTAAAAATCAATTAAACACATATAGTTATCTAATGTGATTACTATGATGAACTAGCAAATGTAGATATTTACTGTGTCAGTTTATTAACTGTAATTCACATTATTTTGATTATTCTTAGGCAGAAAAGGCTAGCTTGGTTCATCTACTGGATTTCTTGGGTCTGATTTTCCTCACAATGATTTGGGCCATTTGTCCTCGGGATAGTTTGGCACTTTTGGGTCAGTGGCTACAGTCTAAATTGCAGGAGGTAAGTCTGAGACAGTAATTCAAATTTGTATGCCCTGCAGGAAGAATAATAATAATAATGCAACTAATACTTGAGATGTTTTCACATTATCATGAATTATTTTTACCACCTGTGTTTTCTTATTTTTAGGGGATTTTTTTTTTTTAAGACTTACTTTTATTTATTTATGCACCCAAGAACTGAAGAACTGAGGTGTAGGCCAGAGGTGTGTGTGTGGTGCTAGTAGGGGTGGTGGTGGTAAGCATATTCACCAGAGACAGGCAGACAGGCAAATGTATTGAAATACACTGCTGAGGGGAACCTCAGGCAAGACAGGAGAGGTCTGCTGTGTCAGGTTGGTCACCTTCTTGCCTTTGATTGAACTCATGCCACAGTGGTTGATAATAGGTTGACAGTGCTAAGACTAACCTCTGTGCCACCAGGGAGACCCCTTTTGAGTATATTCTTAATAATGAATGCTCAAATTAGAAAATACTACGTGTCTCATATCACTGAGGTAGATAGAATAGAAGGATTTAGCAGCTTTTGAGTGATAATTTTTAGGAGCACGATGGCAAGTCAGGTCACATGACCCTTGCTTTCCTTTTGTCCTTTTATCTTAAAACTTTCTGCTTTTGCCTTATATAATGAGTGATATACTAACTTTACGGCTCCTCCTTCCTGCAAATACTTGACTTGAATGGGAAACTCTTAAAAAGCTGTCAATTTTTATACTCACAGGATTGGCTAAAGCTGCTTTACTGACCTGTTTCCTCAATCACAGTTAAACTAACTTTGTCTAACAAATATTGAAGGACAATTTAACTAGGCATTTGTTATCTTTTGTTTTTAGTGTATATGTGTAATAATAATCATCTCATAAAATTTACTGAGTGGTTAACTTTATTTAAATCACAATAAAACTGCAAGTAGCCTTATAATCTTGATAATTGCTTTCTTAGCTATGATTAATTAATTTATTTTACATTTTCAAATATTTCCTCTGTCCTAGGAGGTTTGGTTCTTTAGGAACAATCTGTTATTTGTTTATTTAATGATTTGTGGAGCACCCATCAGAGTGCCATCTGGGTACTATTTAAACTTAATGTGCAAGTTCTTTGAGACAAATTGTTTTTGAAATTGACTAAGTCTTTGATTTGGTGTTACCATCTCATCTGGCTTCATTTTTATTAAATTAATAAGTTCTTAAAGGAAAAAAGAAAGATTGGTTATTGTTTAGATTATAGGACCTCATAGTTTGAATTTTATGTTGTTACTGATATGCTGAAAAGTCAAAGGAATTAATGTAGTTTTTGTCTAACTACAGTAGCTGTTTTTCTGTAATGGATCAGGAGATTTTAGCATAAGAAAAATAATTTGTAGCTGTTTTTCCCTTGAAATACTTGATAAATCCTGCTATTTCAATATGATTCAATTAATTAAACTGAGGGTAAAGCAGAGATTACTTCTGTTTGATTTCCCCCTACCCCCCAAATCAAGGGCCCCTGATACTTTTGGTGGTAAGGAAATGTTTCTTTCCCTATGCATTGGTCATTGTGATTGGAGAAGTGGAAGGGATGCTAATATGAAGTCAATGATGAGGGACAATTGCTGACTTTATTAGCCAGAGAAAGGAAGAGAGAAGGGAAGAAGTAAGTGTCTTTACTTAATCATTAGGGAGTACTATTTTGTAAGCTTAAGTATGTGGGTATTATGTGACGGCCCACAAGTGTTACCAGGTAGGGTATTGAGTAATAACTATAGTAGTCAACATTTATTGAGTGCTTATCATGTGCTAGGCACCCATAAACAGTATAGATAGTTATGTACAGGGTTAAGAATACAAGCTGTGAATTCATGCTCTGTTAGACCTAAATTTTATGTAACTGGGCAGCTTCTTCAACTGTACAGGTGTCTGATTGTCTCTCTGTAAATTGGGATAATGATACTAACTCAAAGGTTTAATAATTTTAAATAGAATCTCAATGTAAGCACAGTTAACATTTTAGATCAGATAACCTTTGTTGTGGGGCTTTGTCCTGTGCAGTGAAGGATGTTTAGGAGCCTCTAACTATGTGGCTTCTTCCACTAGATGTCAGTAGCACTCCCCACACCCCAGTTGTAATTATCAAAAATGTCTCCAAACATACCCAAATACCCCGGGTCACAAAACCACACAAGTGATTAAAGGTGTTTAGCATAGTACCTGGCACAAAGTAAGGACTTAGTAAATGTGAACTATTATTATTTTCTCACTTCTCTACTCTCAGCTCTAGGAGATTGGTACTGCTACTAACTTTATTTTACAAAATGATGTTACTCGGCTTTAACAGATAATGTAGCATTTGGACTTGAAGATAAGGTTTTCTCCTTTCAAAACCAGTATTTTTCATCAATTATACTTTCAGTACATTGACAGGACACCTGCAGACTGCTCAGGAAGAAAGTAGAGTTCAGTGACCTAAGACGGGCATGATTGAGAAGGAAGAAAGTCGTATCTAGTGGTCACGTACTCGGATCCAATTGATAACAATGTATAGCCATTACTGACATGTAGCTACCTCTGAAAAATTGCTTCCCCAATTAATAGTTCTTTTCTCAAAAGTCCTTTCTATTGATCTATCTCCTACAAAGTTTTAGTACTTACTGAAAATTGGAATTTAACTGGAAAGCATTCACATAAATACAAGTAATTAGGAAAATTAAAGTTACGATACCTATTTGTATTTTTTATTGAAGTTGGAAGAAAATTTCATTTTCTTAACTAATCAATACCTAGAAAAGAAAAAGGAAATTAAGATAATTAATCAAAGAAAGAACATTCTGCTATATGGTTAATTTCCTAACTGAAATAAATCCTCTAGTAGTGTCTTTGGCTATTAAATAGCTATATTTTTTCAATTTTCTTTAAAAGTGCAAGTTCAGATTGTTTCTTTGTCATATTAAAAGCCTGCATCAGTAATCTTTCTTTGGGAATCCTTTATACAGTAGGTAGAGATTATAATTGGAAAAGTAGAAGTACTCTACATGATACTGTAGTCTTTCTAGAAGTTTGTAGGCATGATTTTTTCTCCTATTCTTCACACTTGAAACATTTTAACCTCTGATGGAATGAAAGCTGCATATATGTTTCTTGAAATGATAATCATGGAGATCATAAAATTTTATCCTAGATATTCCATGAAATTAATTGAAAAATACTCTCCATTTATTACTCCTGGTTATGAAAGAAATAGCCTTAATGGTATTTTTCTTTTTCATGTCTTTTTAGTATATGTTTGACAGACCATATAGTAGAACACTGGAGGCTGAAGCTGACAAAATTGGGCTACAGTTTGCTGCAAAGGTAAGATGTTTGTGTTTGAGAATATATAGATTCCCTCATAAGGTGAAAGAGAAGTGTTTGCTATTTTTTTTTTTTTTT